TTACAATCAAATGCATCATCTCAGAATATTTTCTGACTGCTTTTAATAATTCATGGTGAAGGTAGCCTGGTGCGTGTGTAATATAAGGAAGTTAATGTTTGTTGGCTGAAGTCATAGCTCAGTTTTGTTCTGTCACCTACTGGCTGTGATTGCTTTTCTTCTGTGAACCATGGTTTTTCTCATCCTAAAAATGGTAGGCAGCCTCAATATTTCAGCACATTTTATTTTAATAATATAATCCATATGTTTCACACTTTGTCAGTGAGATAGTACTTATCAGATTCAAAATATTTGCTGCATATGATTCTGGTATATGAAAGTATCTACTATGAAGAAATGTACTGTAGTAAGTCTATGGAATAGGTACCCATGTGTGTGCATCTGCATAACAATGCATCGGTGTGTGCCAGTCCTGGGGTTTGAACTCAGAGCCTGGGCATTGTTCTTTAGTTTATTTGCTCAAGGCTAATACTCTACCACTTGAACCACAGCTCTTCTTCCAGGTTTTTGATAATTAATTGTTGATGAGAGTCTCATAATCTTTCCTGCCTAGGCTGGCTTTGAACCACGACCCTTAAAATAAACCTCTTGAGTAGATAGGATTACCAGGAACCAACTAAATGCATATTTTGAGTTAAAAACATGTAGTGGGAAAAAATGAGAAGATGTTTAGGACTGAGTCTATCCAAGAACTAAAGTATATGTTCAAATAGGATATTATTAAATAACATGTTTTCATAGGTTCTATGGTTTCCCTTATACATCTAGGATAATCTTATCAGATGAACAGAGTAGTTCAATTGCTATGTACCTATGACCATATAAGATGATTCTAAGCAAAAGGAACTCCAAGATGTGAACACAAGAGGCTTATCTTTGTTGTTGATTTTAATGTACTATGTGATATTTTTGTTTCTTTTGTATGTTCTTCCCCCTATCATATATCCCCTGTTGTCATTGTATTTGATTTTGGTACCCTAGTATTGTATATGTGCTTATCTGAATTAGGGAATGGAAGGGTAACAACAGAATGGTGAGAAAAAAGACAAAGGGGGATCCAATGAAACACCGATACTCACAAGACAATGTGCTGGATATGATCTGTGCATCATGGAAGGATTTTTTTGTTGGTAGAGGAGAGAAAGAGGGAGAAAAATGAGGGAGGGGCTAACAAGTTCCACTAGAAATGTATTCACTGCCTTACTTAAGCAAATGTAACCCCTCTGTATATCACCTTGACAATGTTTTTTTAAATAGCATGTCTTTAAAAGAGTGAAAGTAAGCATTAATAAATTCATAAAACTATAAAAAAGGAAATTTTAGGCTGAAAACTCGAATCAAAAATAGGTGAAATAAACAATTAACTCATCTGAGTCCAGCCACACATTAGATAGTATTTGTGAAGTTGCTGAGATACCAGTAAAGAATAAGAATATAAGAAACAGAAAGAAAACTGAAGAAGCACACATAATGGTGGTGATCTTTGGCACAATGTTAACCAGCTTACTATTTGTGTAATTGGAGTTATAAGAGATGCTAGTGATAATGGAGCTGATGGCATGGTCACAGCAAAATTATGTCACCAAATAATGACATAAAATAGCCATTTAGGAAGAGTATCAGAGAAGCCTGAAGCAATTTCCTACCCCTGTCCTTCCAGAAAAGAAAATCAGACTTGAAACAACATGGAAACACCAATGAAAGATAACTAAAGATGAAGAGAATATGTTGGAATCAAACATGCTTCTACTTTTAGAAGGCCTTTGTATATTGGGACAATGGTGTGGAAAAAATCTCACTTCATGTTCATGTAACATAAACTGAAGATAAGGGATAATAATGGAGCAGATTGTACAGCTGCTGGTAGCAACTGATACATCTCAGAATCCCATTTTTTTGTGTGTGCTTTTTTTTTAAAGTATCTTTCCATTGAAATAAAATACAAGAAGTTTCTTAAGAGAAGTTTGAGAACAACCTGAAGAATGACAACTTCTGTAGACTGTTCCAAAGTATAGTAAACGTCTGTCCATATAAGAAAACTAGAGAGGCTGGGAAGGTGGCTCAGTGGTAGAGCGCTTGCTTTGCATGCATGAGGCCCTGGGTTCGATTCCTCAGCACCACATAAGCAAAAAGAAAAAAGTCGGAAGTGGTGCTGTGGCTCAAGTGGTGGAGCGCTAACCTTGAGCTGTGCTGTGCCCAGAGTTCAGGCCCTATGACTGGACCCCCCCCCAAAAAAAAGAAAAGAAAACTAGAATCCATAAGGCAAAATACACAACACTGAAGTGAAAAATATGTGCACAAACAAAAAGATCATTACAAATGCTTTATAAATATACTTCATATGACCATGTAAAATCAGACAATATTTTAAAGTTTTCATAATATACAATAGTCAAAACATGTAAGGCCTGGGTTTAATCCCCAGCACTGAAACAAAGCCAAAACAACAGCATACAAAATATAAAACTAATACAAATAAGTACCTTATGACAGCACAATAAGAAAGGTATGGAGGGGAATACCCTATTTTGAATTTTTTTTTTATTTGCTGGTCATGGGACCTGAACTCTGGGCCTGGGCACTGTCCCTCAGCTCTTCAGCTCAAGGCTAGCGCTCTACCACTTGAACCACAGTGCCACTTCCAGCTTTTTCTGCTTATTTGGTGCTGAGGAATCGAACCTAGGGCCTCATGCATGCAAGGCAAGCACTCTACCACTGAGCCACAGCTTTGAATAATAAGAATAAAGTAGGAAACTGATTTGGAAAGAGAAGTTTGGGGAAGGAAGAGATGTTAGCCTTTATGTGGAGGGACTCCAGGACCAGCTCTCTGTGGACGATTACAACAAATTCACCGCATCTCTCAGTACTAGACTAAGCTAACTTAGGACAAGGAGGTTAATTTTATTATGATCAAAGAGTCACGTTAGGAATGCAAAATCTAAAATGTCCATAGAAGTAATAATATAGTCATAAAATCTTAAAAAGGAACTCATGGTGAAATAGATAAGACCCTTATTATAGTTGGAGTTCTTAGCAGCCACTCACCCAATACTTGAAGCAAGTAGATAAATTATTAACATCCTGTGTGAATTAATTTACAGAACTCATAATATAAAATAATGGGAGAACTCATGTTGTTTCCAGTGGGGCATTACATGTTTGTATAGACTGATCATGTACAGGGTCAAAAAGTAAATGTTAGTACATCTCAAAGGTATAAACATTATATGGCACAATCTCTATAAATGAACTAAATTAGAAATCACAACAATAATGTATCTAGAAACATCCTAAATACTGTAAGTTCCAAAGATGATTACTAAACAACCCTCAGGCAAAATAAAATTCAAAGAAAAATTGAAAACTTTTTTAAAATGTAAGCATAATGAATTATAATCTCAATGGCAATAACCTTAGTGGTATTGTACATAGGAAGAAATAGTATCATAAAAGCAATATCATTGAATGATATCTGTTACCTTGCTCATTCCTTAAAGAATGTGCAATTGGCTACATGGGAACACATGGTCAGAAATACTTCTGTTTGGACAGTGGACATAATGAGTGAAACCTGAGAAGAAAAACTGAAGTATTTCTAGATAAAGTGCAGGAATCCAGTGTAATCTTTTTGAGGAACACACTAATAAGTCTTTGATATTTTGCTGAATGATTTTTATTTGATGACATAAAGAATCTAACAACATCCTGAAAAAGTCTTGTTAGGTTGAATGTAATGAAAGTGCAGTTGGTACTCTTACCCAGAGGAACACAGTATTCCACAGAGCTGGCTGCTCCTTTTGCTCTGCAGTCAGTCTCAGAACGCTGCTTTTGGGAACACTGTCCTGAATCTTAAACATCACTGTGCCTCATCTCTACATGGGGCTAGCCCAGAAAAGTTCAAGACAAGAAATCTGAAGTATGGTATCTACTAATAAATACTACTTGTACATTGTTGTAAAGTTGAAAAGTCTTAGTTAAACAAGCTTTACAAAGAAAAAAATCTCTTCTGGCCCTGAGGACGCAATATCACAACATTGATAACTCGGGAGTGAAATTAGGATGCTTTGTAAAGTCACTGTCTAATGTCAGCCTTAAGACTTGGCAAATGGAGAAAAGCTTGGGTAAAGGCGATGACCCTCAGAGGTTCTGTCAAATAGGTTAGTTTAAACCTCTGCACAAACATTTCCGGGGGGAAATCGTGAGAATAGACAGCGTTCTTTGCTTTAGTAATAATGAGGGGCAAATTCCATCACCATTTAACACAATCACCAACAGGAGCAGATAGATAGATAGATAGATAGATAGATAGATAGATAGATAGATAGATAGATAGATAGATAGATAGATAGATAGATAGATAGATAGATAAATAGATAGATAGATAGATAGATAGACAGATAGATAGACATACATACATACAGACAGACAGACAGACAGACAGATAGATAGATCATAGATAGATATAGATCTATTTACATATATATAGATATATTTCAATTAGATACAATTGAACCAGGCTATATGGCATACACACACACATACACACACGCACACACACACACACACACAAACACACACACACACACACACATAAATATATATATATTTATATATATATATATGTATATATATATATACCAACCCTTCCATATACATGTGAGCATCCTATATGTTCAGGTTAACAGGCTTTGTCGCAATAATTTTATTTCTTGTGGTAAGCTGTTATTACCACATAATTTTTTTCTAACATTATTAAAATACTTTGTTATAATTTGGAAGTGAATTTCAAAAGAATTTCCACGAGAGTTTCATAATGATTTATCTTAAGAACTTTTGCAAAAACAAAATAATAAATGGAAATTCACTGCATAATGAAAAGAAAAGTAGTTTAGCGACAGAGAGTAAATAACACTTCTTCGTGGCTCTGATGAACTCAACCCCAGATCTCAAGCCAGGCAGAGACAAACCAGAGAAAAACATAGATGGCAAATAGAACTTACCCATATTTCGCAAAATTTGCCCAGCGTTTCATTATAGATCTACTCAGAATTTCCTCGGGTTTTGTGTAATTACCTCTTCTTTCCAAAGGCAACCCAAAGACAAATTCAATTTCATAGCCATGCATCACTCCCATCCATTGTGGCCAAGGAAGTTTGGAGGAACGGTGCTCAAAATAGTAGAAGAAAACATTGTTTTCCCAATCCGAGTATTTCTGGGCAAATTCCAGGGCAGGACATACGATGTTGTAATCGCCGATCACGTCGTCGAAGGCTTCCCTGTACTTCTCCGGTCTCTGATCATCTAACCAATCCGCGTAGTGGAAAAGGATAGATTCCTTCCCCAGTTCCCCCACTCCGGGGAAAAACATGTCCAACCCTTCTTCAAACTGACTTCTGGTGATGAGACTATCATTGTCCTTGCTGAAACCCGGGGCCCCGTACACCAGGAAGGCTGACCCTTCGTCCTTATTCACACCCACCAAGATCTGCGTGCGTTTGAATCGTCCCATCTGCAGGAGGGCGTCGGGCAGGTCAACTAGGAAGTCATTGTCCACCGTGGGTCCAAAGTGGACGGACAGAAGGCTCTCGTGGGGAAGGACAAAGGCCTCATTGGGCAGGATTTCCTGGGGATCTTTGCGCCGCAGACACTGGAGGAGCTCAGTCTCGTTCTCTCTAGCGCAGCCCAGCAATGTGGCCAAGGTCAGCGTTCGGTTCCTCGCCTGGGCTGGGGACATCGCTGCCCACGGGGCGTTCGCAGACCCACTTTGCAGAATAGCCCTGAGGAACCAGGGGTGGCTCTGGGGGGACAACAAATGCAGGCCCACGGAGGCGGCCCCCGCGCTTTCTCCAAAGAGGGTGATGCTCCAGGGGTTGCCACCAAAGGCCGCTATGTTTCCATGGACCCACTGCAGGGCCAGCTGTTGGTCGAACAACCCCGCGTTCCCCGGAGCCTCGGGATTCCCTGGGAGCGCCAGAAACCCCAGCGCACCCACCCTGTAGTTCATGGACACCACGATCACCCCCTCCACCCGAGCCAGGAATCTGCCGTCGTAGACGTTTAAGGAGGACGTCCCTGTCTGGAAGCCACCCCCGTAAATCCACACCATGACCGAGGCGTTTCTGGGCTTGGGGGCTGGCACCCACACATTCAGGTACAAGCAGTCCTCGCTCAGGTTGGTGTTCGGGTTCCACATCTCCGATCCGGAGAAGCCTGGGAAACTCTGATCTGGGTTCTGATGGCAGGAATTGGCGTACCTCATGGCGTTCCAAACGTCAGGCCACGTGGCTGCAGGCTGTGGCTTTTTGAATCGAAGGGGACCCACGGGTGGCCGGGCATAAGGGATTCCCAGAAATGCGCTCACAGTGCCTCCCAGGACGGTCAAGGGCACGCCTCGGACCTTGCCCGATTTGGTGGCCACTATAAGGTCTTCTTCAGCGCCAAGTGACTTCTCCATGGACAGGCAGAACAGGAGGGGCCACAGGAGAATCGGGGGCCCTGGCCTTTTGCCTTTGCTCTGCATGATGATTTCTAAAAGAGACGTAAGTAGCAGGTTGTGTTAGTGCCGTTTATAGGGAAACTGTGAAAAGAAAACATTGGGTACCAGTCTCACACGTTTGTCATCTTAGCTATTCAGAGGATGAAATTTGAAGATTTCAGTTCTGTGCCATCCCTTGCAGGAATCTTATCACCAATTATCCACGGAAAGACCCCAAATGAAGCTGTGGCTCAAGCAGCAGAGTGCTAGAGTTGAGTGAAGAAGGTAAGGGACACCATGCAGGTGCTGAGTTCCAGCCCTAGGACTGGCACACAAACAAGAAGAAGACATCTTTTTACCACTATCAGGTGCTATGCAGAATTTTTTTTAATGGAAATGTTCCCGAGTTTAATTTAGAAGGAGATAAATCAAATGGACAGAATGTACTTGACTTGTAAGTGTTGTCAAGTATCTTTACAGAACTCTGTAGCGGGTTCTAGTATTTTCTCAGGCACCCATCACATTAATTCTCATCCATACACAGCCACGTCAAGGGTAGCATTCACTGGGAACCCATTTATATGTTAGATTTAATTTTTACTGTAGAGATACAGAGAGTGGGAGAGAGAAAAGGAGAGAGAGAGGAGGAACTACATAGAGGAAGAAAGAGAGCTAGACAGAAGAGGAAATAAAACTCTTTGATTTGGTGACATTTCACGGCTGGTTGACACTCAATATACTGGTGAACTAGTTTAAGAAAGTTAAGGAGTTATAGATGTCTATCAACGTTCACTTTGGTTACACCCTCCTTCCTTGCGTCATTCTTTCCTCTCTAACATGTTAGTCTATTGCCAAAAGACAAGTCAAACAATATTTTAGCAAAATATTATGTAACAAAGTAGAGAACTGAAACATTTTAACAAATGAGAACAACTGACATTTGTACTGTTGTTGCCTCTGTTTGAAAAATATTTAGGGCTATAGGTAAAATATCTGTATAAAAGACTTAAGTTGCCAGGTGCTGGTGGCTCAAGTTTGTAATCCTAGCTACTCAGGAGGCTGAGATCTGAGGATTGAGGTTCAAAACTAGCCCAGTCAGGAAAGTCTTTTAAGGTCTTATCTTTAATTAACCACCCAAAAATCTGAAGTGGAGCTGTAGCTCAAGTAGTAGAGTGCTAGCCTTGAGGGTAAAATCAAGGATAGTATTTAGGCTTTTGTCTTGAAGTCCCAAGACAGGCACATTAACTCTCTCTCTCTCTCTCCTTCTCTCTCTTTCTCTCTCTCTCTTTCTCTCCCTCTCCCTCTTTCTCTCTCCCTTCCCCTCCTCTCTCTCTCTCTCTCTCTCACACACACACACACACACAATGATTAAAATTTACTTGTTTTTATTCCATTTATGTAGGCAGTGGCTCTACAATTTGATAGTTATGTCGGGTTCCTCGGGTTGAATACAATCTCCATGGTAATAAGCACAGCTGCTATTTTGAATCGGAGATAATATTGACTCGAAAGCAATTTCAGTCGATCACATCTGCTACCTTGCTAATTGATTAAAACAGATGCCATTGGCGAAATGCAATTGCATGGTCAGAAATACTTCTGTTTGAATTGTGCGCATAATGATGGAAATCTGAGAGGAAAAACTGAGACATGAATTGAGAAAGTGCAAGAAGCCAGTGTAATCTTTGTGAGTTACAAATTAATAGATCTTTGATGTGTTAGGAAACAAAACTAATTCTTGAGATTCGTTTTATATAATAAAATGAATGATACAGGGCTGGAGAATGGTTAGAAAGGCACCCCTGAAATCAGGCATGAGGTCCATATGGAGCCCTGGTAGAGACCCCAAGTGGAGCCTCGTGGGATGGGCCGCATACCCACGCTGCCTTCCCCTTCGCTGCTCAGGTGCACTCTATCCTGATGTCCAAGAGCCATCAGCTGTGTCCCTGCCCACAATGCCAGGTCCCTATGTGGGTTTGGCCTTCTAGATGTCTCCTTCCACAGCTTCCTCCTTGCCACTGTTTTTTCCTAAGTCAAGCACTCCAGAGAGCTCTTCTTCCAAGAGTCAGTCCACGACCCCAGCATGGCAGCTGGCTTGTGAAAAAAACCACGGTGTATGGGCACCTGTGCCTGCTTCCTCCGTGGATGGGATCCACCAGGCCTCCCTGGCTGGACAAAGGCAGAATGACTTTCTCACCCTGCCCTTCAAACGACGACCATTTACTTTCTCAAATGGTAACTGCTGCCAAGGAAAAGAGCCAGGTTTCATGTATTTCCATGCTTCCACCGGGCCTTCTAGAACTGCCCTTTCCCCGAGTTCCCGAGGGCAGTGGGTGTGGCATCACCAGGGCAGACAGCCAAAGCCTTACCTTCCCCTAGCAGCCAGCCTGGAGGGGGAAACTGCCCTCCCAGAACTTCTGTTCTCTCTCTGTCTCTCTGTCTGTGTCTCTGTCTCTCTTTTTCTGTTTCTGTGTGCCTCTCTCCCTCTGTGTCTCTCTGTCTGTCTATCTGTCTGTCTGTCTCTCTCTCATTGTTAAACAGGGTTGTCGTGTGCAGTGAATTGGTTGCCTTGGCCTAGAGGGGTCCAGGTCTCTGTCCCCACCACCATACCTGTCCAGTCTTGGTGGCTGTCCCTAGATGGGCTGTCCCATCTAGGGCTGAGCTACACACAATAAGAAGATACACCGTAAAAGATAGCCAGAGAAGCTGTGTTTCTTGAGTTAGAAATCTGATATTGTGACGGTCTGAATATGTGTTTATTATATGACTGATCCAAAAAAATTCATAATGCAAATCAGATTGTCTTTTAAATGAACAAAGAAAATGAAATGCTGTGAATAAAGAGAGAGGAAACATGCAAGGTAACTTCCAATGAAAAAGAATGAATGTCTTCACATAATTAAGAGAAAAACAATCAAAATATTCACGTGCAAGTTCTCACATACATAACCACCCTGGATCTCTGTAAAGGTACAACAACTTCCCTTATGTTTTCTGATGCTGTAATTGCAAATGCAATGTGCATTACTGAAGAAGCTAATCCTATTAGCACTGAGGATTTGTATTCCTTTTCTGTTTGTTTCTTTAATTTAGACCATCTTCGGGGCAGTCAAGAGAGGACATTCCCAATCTGCATTTCTAGCCCTGAAGAACTTCAATTTTACATCAGCTTCTTTCACCACTGCTTGTACAAGTACTTTTTTATTCTAGTAGTTACAAGTAGTTTTTTATTCTAGTAATGACAGAAAAAAAATAAAATACAGTGCATAACGCTTAGATCAGAGCCCATAATCTAATTATGTCTAGGTCTATGTCATTCTACCAGTATTCTTCTGTATATGTAAATATATTTATTTATATATGATTATTGTGAGAGAGCACTTTCTGTTTTTAAAATAAAGGCACAGTCATTGTTGTGTCTTGTTTTGATATGATTAGACGAATGCTGGGATCCATGAAAAATATTACTGCACCATTCTTTTGTATAATATGATCATTAATTATGATAGTTAAATGTATAATGATAGGAAATATAATTTGCTTTTGTTTGAGGAATAGCATGCAATTAATATGTAATGATGTAGAAGTTCTGGTAAATATAAACATTTGTATAATTACAGCGGAATTTGGAGGTACTACTGTTATTCTTTCTGAATTTTCTTTTTCCTGATAAAAACTAGTTTCTTCTTCTTTAGCAAGTGGATGGGGACATTAGGAGAAGAGCAAATTGACATGAGAATTCTTTGCCTTTTTGGAAAACCTCACTCATTTATGGAAAATGTCATCAGATGCAGTGTTGGTTACTGAAGCTCTGTTTCAATAAATTCATTTCAGGTTTATTGGTTTTCCTCATTTCTCTTCTTGAGAAGTCCAGACAGTGTCCAATGCAAACCTAATCTGAACCAGTTTCTTTATCCTTACTTAAATATCAATTTGTGTGTGTGTGTGTGTGTGTGTGTGTGTGAGAGAGAGAGAGAGAGAGAGAGAGAGAGTTTGTGTGTGTAGTATGCAAGTCCTCAGATTCCAACTCTGAACTCAGAAGCCTGGGTACTACCCCTGAAATTTTTTACTCAAGGCTGGTTCTCTACCTCTTGACCAACAGCATCACTTCCGGCCTTTTGCTGGTTAGTTGGAGAAAAGTCCAAGCCTCTTGGACTTTTCTGCCTGGTCTGTCTTCAAACTGTCATTCTCACATTTCAGCCTCCTGAGTACCTAAGATTACAGGTATTATCCACTGTTGCCCAGCCTAAATATTAACTTTATGTTTAAAAAAACTTTCCATTAAACACTAATAACTTTTATCTCTACTAATTTTCATGCTTATAAAACTTTTCTTTAAACTACTAATTTAATTTCAAAGAAATGTAACTACCATTACATTTTGGATGTATAATTATTAAATATTGCAATTTTATTATTTATGTTTTAAAATAGCTAATATAAGAGGTTATCTTATCTGTGTTTCTATTTTTATCTTTTTTTCCAAATAAGCCCAATTTTATGCAGTACAGTTTATATAAATTAGAACTATTTTTAACAATGGAATCTACAAGTTCTCATTCTGAAATACTGCCATTAACATTAAAAACAATCATTGTAAGCATACACTCATTACTAAGATAGCAGTGTAGATCTAACTTAACTGTTTCACTCTAAAGAATGTCATGGACATTAACAGTAAATGTGTATTACATATTAAAACTTAAAGATATTCACATATTCAGTTTTGTCTAATATTAGTTGGCTGCAATATTTAATTTAAATAATCTTTGTTAATTATTTTATATAAGCACTTATCTTTTCACAATATGATATTCTTTATCTTTATTTGTTGCTCTGTATTTTTTCACTAAAGGATATTCACACTTTAATAACTATCAGTTACATGATTAAACAATAAAAATGATACAAATAAGTGAAGACTACAAAATACTCTTAGTCTCTATGCTCAAGTCTTGAATAATAATTTTTTTCATGAAGCAATTGATTCTTTTCCTGAAAATTGCAGTACAAATAGCAATCTAGAACTCATTCAACTCCAGTAGTCCACAAACTAATATACAGAAGGGACAAATCTTTGCACCAATTGAAGTTACCAGAATTCAGGTCACTTAACTACCGAAATAGTTAATGTTTGAAAAAGAGGTAGGTGTTTTGTTTAGAATGTCAAAAGTAAATGAATGCTAGGTAGAAAGGGAGAAACCAAGAGGATGATAACTTGTAGTTTAACAGATGCTCTTGGATTTGAAATTTATTGGCTATTTGTGGAAAAATCTAAACTTAAAACTATAACTTTAAAGTAAAATCTAAAGTTTTTATTCATTTTTGTATTTTTATTTAATATTGAACATGCCATAATTCTCCAGCAATTTCAATAATAACTATACAGTGAATTCTAAGAATGAATGTGATTGAATAATTAAAATTAAGAGCAATCTATTTACATTTTGCTTTTCATAGCTTGATATCAACCAAATATTCAAAATAATTTGCTCAAACTGTGCCATGAGAAAAATGCCAAAAATATTAAAATAGAGTTCTACAGGAATTGGGTAATTTTCCTGTTTTAAAGTCATAATGAAGTATGTATTGTATTGGAGAAAGCCCTCAAAATGAATTGCTTTAATCATATTAGAATGATCAAGTTGTATTATTAAGATCTTTTTGTGGTAGAATTAAAATAATTAAAACAACTCAATCTTTTCCCAAAACTGAAAAGATTGTTTGACCCAAGCTGAGTGAGGCAGAGAATTGAGATTTCTTGTCAGACAGACTATACCAATGACTTTCAAGAATCTACAGGACTCGTAAACTTTCTAGATTTCAACTAGGCGGTAGGAAGGCATGTACAGATAGGACATGCTGCATTCTGTGTAACATCTCTGACTCTCCTCAAGCAGAGTGTATAACAAATTTGCCCTATATAAATAATCTCAACAGTTAATTACTAAATTAATTGAGTGCTTAATTGAGTGATTGGGAGTTGAAAATAACCTGTTTGCAATCTGTTCAACTAAACTTTTCTAATAACAGGAACAGTTTATTTTGTTAAGAATGAACAGATTTTTGGCAGAAGTATCAAAACATAAACATAATATTTAAATATGTATTGTGATTACCAAGAAATGAATCAAAACATGGAGTATATTTGTAGGTACATGTGCCTAATTAAGATTTTCATAGCTTATACTTATTCAAATGCAATAGAGAGTAGATTCAAAAGTTTCTTATTAACAAATCTGTAAGATACTGCAAATGAAAACAAATAATAAGTCCACTAGAAAAAAGAAAACAGAAGTTTGAACATCTAATTAGTAATTCTATTAGGCACTGCAAATGGCAAACTTATTTTGTTGTATAGAGACCTTAGAAATTACCATTGCAACATTGAACCATACTTTAAACATTCATGCTTATCTTCAAACTAAGTAATGGTTATATAGTGAAGTTTGGATATATTTATCATAGATATTCTTTTATATTAAGTAACCCGTTCACATAAAGTTGATATAACTTCTACATAGATTATAAAAATATTGACATCATAACCTTGGCATGAGAAGAGGAAGAATTGAAATATAAATAATAAAATGTTTTGCTTATAGTTCAGGTTTCTTTCCATCTTATGTATTTTCTGCATAAAGGTAAGCTTTCAAACTTAGGAGACAAACATTTGCTTGTCATTTGTACAATGACAAAGAACGCACATAAACATTAGATATCTTGCTACTGTTTAAAGACACACATGAGAAAACACAAACGAGAAAAGTTTGTAAAGGTAATGCACGTTCCTTCAGTGTAAAGGAAACTTTGACCCTCCACTTGGCAGTTGATATTACAAAGGTTTCATAATATGTTGGCCAAGCAAAGTAGCTGGTGAAGCCACCAATGTGAGAAAAACTAATTCCATGCTGCATTTCAAAAGGAAAACAAAAAAAGAAAAATGTACAAGCCTGACCCAAGTGCAGCAGTTCTGGCGTTCTTTTAAGGAGTGGTCACTAACTAGTCAATCTCAGAACAAAGTAGAGTAAGATTTATGTTTTTCCTCCCTCTAGGAAACTGCTAAAGAAAACAGACCTAGAGAATCCACAAGTGCTCTGCCCTTTGATACAAAGCAGAAAGAAACTCATTTCTTTCGCCGTTAAATGGACTGGGGGTGCACTTCTTCAAGAACAGACAGATCTGATGTCTGTGCCTCTTTATTGGCTTCTTTACTGTATCCCATTCAGCAATTGCTTCTATCACCACCAAAGAGACACAGCCAACAGTGAAGAACCGAAACACTTGCCCAATCTTCAAAGAGACCAGCGTCTGGACACCGAAGGTGGAGATTCAGAGCAACTTACCTCTCACACTCCTCAAGGGAAGATGACCAAGTTTTCCAGGAGTGGAGATTGCGCACTAAAGCTTCGGAGGGAAAGGCAGGATGCAGCTGCTGCTCCTGCCAGGGGCTGCACTGACATTACAACCCACTGTTCTGACAAAGCTCGCGAGAGTTGGCAGGGGCGGCTGGAGCTACAGGCAGCCAGTATCTGGACTTTCTGACATCTGTTCCGAGGCTAATTGCATGACTGCCGTGGTGATTCATTTACAGAAGTATTATTGGATCCGGCGTGATCATCGCAGATCTTCTTCTAGGAAGGAGGAGACAAGGACAGAGAAGTTTCTTAAAAAGAAAATGCATACAGTTTTCTTTTACACTACACTTCAAGTACTTTTCATGTTTGTTTCCTACTATACATTTTTCCTGTAGCTTATTACTAAGACTCAAAGATGTAAGCATGCTCCTGAAGAAATAAGGGAAATCCCTCATATACCATAGATCTGTGGAGGGCTGCGAAGTTATAGAGGATCAGCAATGAGAAAGCTGGAGCAACCTAATCGCTCATGGGGATGACCCTCCAGAACTCAATACTTATTCTTTAAGTCTTGTAAGTCTCACAATTCCTGGGAATGTACAAGGTCCCTGCAGGAATTCACATGTCATGAACAGAGAGTTTATAGTCTAAGCCAATGAAAATACAAGGAAAGATGTCCCACAAACTTCAGCAGTCACCTGCTCTGATATACTTCCGTCTCCACAGCTCTCCTCTCCAAAAAGTGGTTGGTGTCTTTCTTTTGGTTGGATTTGGATTTGAACTCAGCACCTCACTCTTTCTTGGCTTTGGTTGCTCACAGCTAGTACTCTCCCACCTGAACCACATCTCCTGCTTTGCATTTGGCTGGTTAATTGTACAGGGAACCTCCCAGGTTTTTTGCCTACGCTGACTTTTGGACAATCATCTTTAAGCGCTCAGCCTCTCGAGTAGCTAAGATTACATTCATGAGCCATTTTTATCTTATCTAATTATCTTTGCCAGGAAAATTAGGTAAAAGCCTCACAATCCCAGTGATTGATAATCCTCTACAATGATGTAGTTTTAAATTAGTACAGAGTACATGATTTGTCTAGGTAAAAACAAGGTTTTTACTTTTTTCATTTAAAGGAACTACACTGATAAATTCACAAAGACTTATACAGTGGTAGCATCTCCATGGTCAAACGCAATCAGTATGGTAGCCACAGGAAAGTCTGCCTTTTTAATGCATAACAACTGTAATCCAGATGTCAAAATTTTTCCAACACAAATCCATTGTTTTTGGTGCTGTGCACATAATTAGCATATACTTTAATCTTATTTTCAAACCTAACAAATCATTATGAACTGTTTTACTCTACAATGAATTCAGTAAAGCTGCTTTTTTTTTTTTTTTGGTCAGTCATGGGGCTTGAACTCTGGGCCTGGGTGCTATCCCTCGGTTCTTCAGCTCAAAGAAAGCACTCTACCTCTTGAGCCACAGCACCATTCTGGTTTTTCTAGTGGTTAATTGGTGATAAGAGTCTCATGTACTTTCTTGCCTGGGCTAGCTTTGAACCACAATCCTCAGATCTCAGCCTCCCGAGTAGCTAGGATTACAGGTATGAGCCACCAGCATCCAGCTTGGCAAAGCATTTGATATACTCCTGGTGTATAAAATACAGCAAAAACATGCACCCATTTATTTATTTGTTTGTTTGTTTACTTGTGTGCTTGTTTGTCTTGGTGCTGGTCCTGGAGCTTGAAGTCAGGCCTGGGCTCTGTCTTTGAGCTGGTTTTGCTCGAGCAAGTGGTGCTCTACCACTTGAGCCAGAGGTGCACTTCCAGCCTTTTCTGTGTAGCTTTTATTGGAGATAAGTGTCTCATGGACTTCCCTGTCCTGAAGTAGCTAGGATTACAGGCATGAGCCACCAGCACCCAGAAACACAGATTTAACTTTCATCCTTATACAATGATGCCAAAATAAATTCACTGGTTGCAAGCAGAATTTTAGGCCATATTTAAAGTGATTGACTAGCAGTATCAATAGACCACAGAACCTGAGTCCTGGGGCTTGAACTCAGGGCCTGGGCACTGTGCCTGAGCTTCTTTTGCTCAAGGCTAGCCCTCTACCACTTGAGCCACAGCTCCACTTCCAGCTTTTTCTGTTTATGTGGTACTGAGGAATAGAATGCAGGGCATGTATGCAAGGCAAGCACTGTACCACTGAGCCACATGCCCAGTCCATTGTTCAGTGCTTTTCACATCCAGAAAACCACTTGATTTCCTAGTTAGGCCGCTTTGACCAGCCTGTGGCTTCATTTTCCCCTTCGATCATTTCTTCTTCCTGTCTTGCTTGCGTTCCTCCCTTTGTAGCTCCTGGAACAACAGCTGGTTTGCTGCTGAGCTTTGCTCTCTCTCCCCACTGGAGGCTGGAGGTCAGGCACAGGAGCCTTGACTGGCTGCTAGTGGACAGGCAGCATTCCATTACTTGGCAACCGTGGACCTAATGATCTGCTATGAAAGGGAGAGAATGCCCTGTAAGCGATACTGATGAAATACCACAGGACTCTTGACAGTGCATTAGCGCGGCTCAGAGTTGCAGCCGGGTCTCTGCGAGCTTGAGCAGCATGAGGAGTAGGAGAGCACTCTAAGCACTTATACTACCCCATCACAGAACCTTGCTGTTTCTAGGGACTCAACCATAACTCAGACAGCAATGGACTGGCTATTTTCTCAGGAAAGGTTTTCAGGATGATTTGAAATGCTTTCATAACATCAGTCCCCACTTAGACATCACTTTTTTAGGCCAATTTTGAAAGCTTCATCTTTGCTTTCATTCATGCTTTATTTCTTAGCAAGAGCAATCTTTTTTATGAAAAAGTATGGATCACAAGGATATATATATATATATATATATATATTATATATATATATTTGGATTTTACATACAAAAGACAGAAGCATCTTTAATTTTTTAATATTTAGCATTTAATTCACTTATTTCTAACACTGATCAAATGGTTGGTTTACATTTTTTAAGTTGTTTGTGTTATTTATCTTTTAAAACATTTTAATGACTCACAGCTAGTGATACTTCACTTGAGCCACACTTCCGGTCTGGGTCTTGTTGGTTAATTGTAGATAAGAGTCACTCAGTTGTCTGCCTGATCTGGCTTTGAACCTCAATCCTCAGATTTCAGCATCCTGCAACGAGGATTACAGATGTGAACCACCTACACTGAGCTGAAAAGTTAATATACTTTATCTCGCTTTTTGTAGAACAAGAAAAAGGTGAGGCTTTTTAATTCACAGTGCTGAAATTACTATGGCAAAGCAAGAGAAAGACAATGGAAAAGAAAGAAAAGTTGAAGGCATTTTAGGATAAGGAGAATTTAAGTGGTGCAAGGTAAATAAAGGAGGGGAGGAAACATATAAAGAGCACAGATTGCAATAGGAAGGACAGATCTAAGAAGGGCCAATATTTGTGAGCTCCATGTATATTGAAGACTTTTAAGAAAGGAATGAAAGCAGCATGTGAGTCCCTTTTGATCTTTCTCAACCTGTTAGTGGAGACCTTGTTTGTGTTTCAATGGCACTGAACAAGAGTTGTGTGTTTAGATACCTATGGATGTGTTCACAAGGGGTGTTGTTTATGTCTGGGTGTGTGGACCTATTCTGCAGAGAGCTTACCTACAAAACTCTGAAGAGAAAGGGAGGGAAGGCTTAATCCTTCTTGGAATAAAATGAAACGATCAAGCTCCTAAAGTCATGAGTCATCATTTCTACAACCACTTACCTAATTTGCAGTTTTCTAACTAATTCACATAAAAGTTTACATGAATGGAAGTTCTAATGAAATCAAAGGAATCATGATCAGAGCAGATCATGGTTTTCCAGACAACATTTTAAAAGTGGAAACACCCCATTCCCCACTGGGGTACCACTTTCAAGATGGGGGTGAGTTGATCCCCATCTTCCAGGTTTCTTTTCCTGTCGTGGACTTTCTGTCTTCCTGTCTGCTTTCCTTCATGGTATTTCCAAATGAAACTCATTCTTTTGTTTCTTTGGAATGGTTTAAGACTTTGGAAATGCCAACAATTTGATCTTTGGGGGGAAATTGAGAGGAACATTTGGAAGTCATGGAGTCAAAAAAACTAAAACAAAGCAAATAAAAAGGGGAGGGGACCACCAAATTCAGACTCACCTTGGATTTTAAACATTATTATCCATCTAATGCCAGAGAGCCTGACATTTAGCCAAGCACTGAATTGCTAGCGAATCACCACAGTTACTAAATATAATCAGGCAAATACTAATTAATCTTTCTGAGCCTTAGTACAATTTGTATCTTGACATTGTTTTTTAGTCTGCTCACATTTGGTGATTGCATTCACAGCATGACTTTTATCTCACAAAGGAGATTTACACAAAGTGTATTCTTAATCCCACAGACACTTACTGTGCTAATCCACTGCCTCCAAGTAACAGGAGGCATGTTTACCTGAGTCTTTCTGTTTGTTGTTGTTCTTGTTTTTGTTGTTGTTTTTAGGTGTTATTATAGCTTGAACTCAGGACCTCATAGTCACTTATTCACTTGGCTGGTACTCTACCACTTGAATAACTCCAGCAATTTGGCTTTGTGCAGGTTGCTATTTACAATGTACACTACTTTGCAGCATAAGTAAAATGAGATATTTCTCCTTTCACTTATTGATACTATGGTCAAAACAAATGTGAAAAATGTATTTGTAACATCAGTTTTTTTGTTTATGTTTTTCTCGGTCCTGGGGCTTGAACTCTGGGCTTGGGTACTGTCCTTGCACTCTTCAGCTCAAGGAGAGCACTCTACCACTTGAGCCACAGCACCACTTCCAGTTTTCTAGTGGTTTATTGGAGATAAGAGTTTCACAAATTTTCCTGCCCAGGCTGGCTTTGAACCGCAATCCTCAGATCTCAGCCTCCTGAATAGCTAGGATTACAGGAGTGAGCCACCGGCGCCCAGCAGTATAAGTTCTTTTACCTGCTTATTTTAAAGTATCTCTCCTCACTAGCTGACAAAAAATTGTAATAAGTGAAAATAAATAAACATATTCTGATTTTGTTCCTTTTTGTTGTACTAGGATTTGAACTCAAGGCTTCAAGCTTTCTGTACCACTTAGACCAT